TGTAACTCATCCCAGATAGCTCTCCACCACAGACCTGCCCTCACTAAAGGTCACGGTGCACACAATTTGTGCGGGCCGGTTTTTGTGTTATTGTGTGGCACAGGACACAGGACAAGAGAGCTCACCTCTAGAGAATGTTAAACACTTTACTGATTATATCTCACTCACGCTGTTAGAACACGCAGCTTATCATACTACAATGCTATAAGGCTGTAAGGTGACATCTGCATGCATGCTGTAATATGTTTTCTTGATGGTAAGCTGAACAACAGGTTATGTAATCTTTACAGTTTTCTCACAGATTAAACATAAGCAGGTTATCACTCACCTGAGCTGCCAGGTTAAATGTTTGCTTGCGGATGAAGTTTCGCAATTACTATAGAAGTTGCTTGTTTGTTTTTTTTAATAAGGTCAGTGGGACCGATGATTCCATGCTAACCTTGACCATTGACCTTTGTCTAAAATACAGGAGACTATGATTTATGACGGCTAATAACTCTAGGACAGGGACTAATTATTGTTTCTTAAAGGGTGTGAGACATTAAGGACTTCACTAACATTACAGCATGGATGTGGAAATTCAGTGCAGATAACACATTGCAACTCCAAAAGCAGATGTAAATATCATCAGTGTTTTTTTTCCCTCTAGTGCTGCTATTTTTAAACCTTTGCTACCCATTGCTGAGTTTCTTTTTCTTCCTAAAGGTAGTGTTTTTACGGATGTTTGGTTCATCACTTCGGATCTGATAGACAAAGGAAGGTATGAAAAGGATGACAAGGACAAAGATAAACAACCATGACGGTTTATTGTCTCTATCGCAGAGCAATGCTTTGTCTTTTTGTTAGCATGCCAAAAGTCCACCCAATTGTTTATTAACACAGCTGCGTCCTATTACCATATATTACATACATTAGTGGTATGATGGCTGTGGCATGCTTTGTGTTAGTTGCACACCAGTAAAGCATGCAATGCATTCGTCTTCTTCTGTACACACAAACTGTTATCACCTCGCTCTCATTTCTGGGAGAGGAGAGCTTTTCTGAGCTTCACTGTGCCTGAACAAGCACTATAATAGAGGTTTTCCAAACAACTGAAAATAGTTTCTGAAGAATATTTTTGTTACTGATTTACAGATATTACAGATATTTTGCAGAAAGAAACAGGGAGCAAACACACAACTGTCCAATTATTTGTAAATGCCAGGGTTAAGAGGGTCTTTCTCTTTCTCTTGACTTTCAAGCATGATCCTTGGCTAACACGAAAGAGAAGGAAGGAAAGAAAGAAAGAAAGGCACAGAAGCACATCATTAATGAGAGTCTACTCATTTGTAAATAAGTACAAATTCAAATCTTTTTTTTCCTTCATGGCATCCTAAAACAGCCTAGTCTACTAATGGATGGTGTTGGCTAGGCTGTTTTTGTAACCTATATAATTGATATAACTGCTGTCTTATCCACAGTTCCTTCTCTCCATTCCTTAACCTGTTTCCTTGATGATGTCAAATTTCTTTTGGCTTTTTTTATGAGGATAAAATGAATCTCCCCTCAAATGTCTTTAAGATTTGAGCCTTCACGAAGGACCCTTTCACATAACAACTTCAGGTTGATTTCCCAGAACGTTAGCAAAAGGCCGCTGTACAGACTATATTTGAGTTTCACAATGCAGAAAATGATACGCTTCAGGGTGCAGTTATTGAGGAATAAATCACAAGCTTGTTTTCAGTGGGCAGTAGTACTGCGAGAAGCAAATCTGATTTTAGTGGTGCCATCTCTTGTTTAAGTGGCTTTAGACGGATGATAGTGACAGAGACAGGGAAAAGAGCCAGAGTGATTCAGGGGTAAGTATACATATATCATGTGGATCTTTGGTAATTTAGTGATATACATGTGTTGAGAGGTGCATACATTGTGCATGTTTAATGCATACATGCAGATTGCCCTTCTGACCCACGTGCCGAAGAGAAAGTAGTAATCTTATGATAAGTGACTTTAAAACTGTCTGTTGCTGTGTGTTTTATGGAGTCCAGAGTCAGGCTGGTGAGCCAGGGCTCCGCGCTCCAGTCGATATTCTATCTATGGGATGAGGGTGCAAGTCAAGCAGTCACCTCTGAGCTTTACGGAGGACACTGTCTCATGCGGTAATAAACCGCTCTTTACAGACACACTTTATTTCAATGAGCAGTGAGGAAAAGGGCAAAAGGACACCAGAAGAGATAGAGATTTAAAAAAAAAAAAAAAAAAGAGTGTGATGAAAAGAAACAAGGAGGATTGCAAAGAGAAGGGAAGTGAGACAGAGGAGGGGGTCTCCAGGTGCTCATAAATCTTTAGTAATTTGTTTATGGCAAGCGAAGTCTGGCTGGCTTCAGCGGTGGCCACTGGAGGTGGGGTGTGTGTGTGTGTGTGTGTGTGTGTGTG